TTCAGAAGTTGTAGGTGCTCCATCACTGGAGGTTTTTAAGAAGAGACTGGACAGCCACTTGTCTGGGATGGTCTGAGTTCTCCTGCTTGAGCAGGGGGTTGGGCTAGAAGATCTCCAAGGTCCCTTCCAGCTCTGCTCCTCTGTTGTGTTCTGTTCATCCAAAAGATTCCTTTGGTGTGGTTATGCACAATTCTCTATCTTCAGGCATAATAACCATTTGCAATTCTGTTCTCACAATTACAGTGTTGTCACAAATGATTTCGCAAATAGGTTATGTCTTCCTACATTAAGTTGTACAAATCTATTAGCATTAAAAAAAACACCTAGAGAGCTGACTTACTAAAATTAGAATATTATGGCTTCATACACTAGCAAAAGATCTTGTTTACGCATCCCTCTAAAATGCAAAATGAGATAAGTTCAGACTCATTTGAAAATTAAACAGATTTCTCCTCTGCCAGTGCGTCTGGCAAGGGAGATAAGTATTTGCCTTTAATAATAAAACTGATAATTAGTCAGCAGCAGTCTGTCTGCTAGATAAAGTGAAGTAGGCATCCACCTCGGTGTTAGGGAAGTGTTCCCAAATTAAAGGTTGGTAAGGGTTTTTACACTATGCAACACTTCATGAGCTGCGGTGGCTCAGTGGTTAAAGCGAAGTACTGCAGGCTACTTCTGCTGACTCCCTGCAATCTGGCAGTTCAAATCTCACCAGGTTCAAGGTTGACTCAGCCTTCCATCCTTCTGAGGTCTGTAAAATGAGGACCAGATTGTTGTGGGCAAGCGGCTGACTCTGTAAACCACTTAGAGAAGCAGTATATAAATCCAAGGCTATTGCTATAATTGTCCTTATAATTTCCTAATTTCTTTCATCAAAAATTACAAAGTAACAAAACTATTTCTTGCAAGCTACTTCTTGCCTATTTGAAATAACATTATTAAAACTATTTAATAAAGTTTCAATTAGATCAACTCTACACTATGCTACAGTACCTACACTACAGGACAGCAGTGTAGTATAGAATAGTATACATAGTATAGTATAGTATAGTATAGTATAGTATAGTATAGTATAGTATAGTATAGTATAGTATAGTATAGTATAGTATAGTATAGGATAG